ACAAGACACCCAGGGAAATCTGTATCTCAGAGAGTGAGTTGAAGTTTATTCCTTGAATGGTGTTGGCAACCATGACAGTGGTGGAAGAGGGAGGCACAGCCCCCAGTTACAGGAAGCCCACGGTCTTATGGGGGAGCTGGTGACAGTGAGGGGCCTCGGTGCTGTGAGAAGGAGAACAGGCATGGGGAAACCCCCAAGAAAGCGGGCCCAGGCTATGTCAGTGAGAGTGAGAAAAGGGTTCTGGTATCCAGGCTGGGACCCTAGGGGTGAGGACCGAAGAGGGTTTCTGGTGAAGGGAACAGCCAGGCCAGAGTCTTGGCAAGGAGAGGGGGACCCCCGGGCAGGTGTGCAGGGGCCAAGCATGCAGCACCCCCCACCCCCACCCCGAAATCCTAACAGAGGCTGGGACCTCAGAATGCCTCACTGGCCTGATCAGGTGTGCATTTTAGAAACAGGGGCCTGCGGGGTATCACAAAGACCAAGGAAAGAACGGTGTTTGGAGGAAAGCGTGAGGAACAGGTCAGATCCTGCAAGGAGGTCCGGAAAGGTAAGGACGGAGGCGTGTCCATTGGCAAACCGCGGGCAGCATCTGAAGGGGCTTCAGGAGGGAAAGGATGAGGGAAGGGAGGGACCCTGAAGGGAGGAGGCCATGGAGGAGGAGGTTCAGCTCCCCAGGGGGTGGGAAGGGGTGGGTGGGGGCACATTCAGATTCTTTTTGGGAAATCCTGGGACTCCCCTCTGCTGGGGGATGGCACGATATAAAGTCGGCCTCGCCCCAGCTGTGCTGTGGTGTCGTCTCCCAGGCCTGTTCCCCAGAAGCTAAGCAGCCTCCAGGCCTCCACTGGGCAAACGGATGAAAGACTAGTGGGGAGCAGTTAAGGGCTGTGGGGCAAGGGGAGGGCAAAGCACAGTGTTTGGGGGAGGGGCTGTCCTGGGAGGAGCTGTTGGAAGAAGGGTCCAGGAAGCAGGAGGGAGGGGTACCGGGCCTGGGAGAGAGGAGCAGACAGTGGCCCTGTACCCAGGGGTGTGAGAGGAGGCGGGGTGGGGGTGGGGGTGGGAGTTGCTGCCCGGGAGTGGTTTATGAGGCAGCGTAGACATCCTGGTCTAAAGGGGCAGAGGTTTGTCAGGGAGGGGAGGCAGGAAGGGGTGGAATGGGGTGGGGAGATGAACTTTTGTACCTTGGGAGGGAATTCCTTTCCTGCCTCAGGCCATGCCCGGTGCCTTCCCACATCCCATCTCATTTAAGCTCCTGAGATTCTCCCAACCTGCCTGGAAGATGAGATTGGGAGGAAAATGATTGCTGTAGGTAGTCTCACTCTAGAAATAAGAAAACTGAGTCTCTGATTCTTGAAGTACTTTGCCTAAAGTCACAAACCTTCTCTGTAGCTGAGAGAGAGAGATTTTAAACCCAGGCTGGTCTGACCCCAAAGCAGGCTCAGTCCTCCACCCCAGGAGACCAGGGAAGCCCCAAGGAGAGAAAAGCCCCTAATCAGCAGGGAAGGATACTGATGTAGGGCAGGGATAGGGCATTGGACTTTCTCAGGCCTCTCAGGGGCCCAGGTGATGTCACCTCCCCAGGGGACTGCTGGGCTCACCTCCCAGGCTTTGTCAGGTGTCCAGCAAATTCCAGGAGCCTGGAGGAGGGTGGACTCAAGAGGAAGGAGAAGAGAAGAGACAGGGCACAAGGCAGTCATGATGGCAGGTATCTGTTCCCCGAAACAAAAGTGGGTAAGGAGACAAGGGAAGTTGAAACAGGGTGGGGACTGCTCTGGGGTGGGGGTTGTACCTGATTCCCACCTTGCCCCTCCTCCCTCTGTAAACACCCTTGCCCACTCCTTCATGCTTCCCTGGCTCTGCAAATACTGTTCCCTCCCCTGGAATCTCCTTGCCTCCTCCTTCAAGGGCAAGTTCACAGGTCCCCTCTTCCCACCTTTTCTACCCTCCTCCCTCCCTTAGCTCCCTCTTCTGGTCTCCAGAGTGGTGGCAAGCAGGCCTCCCTTCCCTCCCTCTCTCTCTTCCTCTTTCCTTCCTTCCTTCTGTCTTTCTCTCTCTCTCTTTTTAAAGATTTTATTTATTTGACAGAGAGAGATCACAAGTAGACAGAGAGGCAGGCAGAGAGAGAGAGGGGGAAGCAGGATCCCTGCCGAGCAGAGCGCCCCATGCAGAGGCTTAACCCACTGAGCCACCCAGGCCCCGTCTTTCTCTCTTTCATCTTTCTTTCTACTTTTATTTTTAGTAATCTCTACATCCAAGGTAGGGATGGAACTCATGACCCTGAGATCAAGAGTCACGTGCTTCTCAGAGAGTCAGCCAGGCACTCCAAGCAAGCAGATTTTCTGACCAAGGAACAGGGTGCAGGCTAAAACATTCATTCATTCCAGTCTACCTACATTTCTCCATAGTCTCATCCAGCTTGAACTACCATCACACGCTGGCTGCGGGGAAATGTGTGTCTCCTGCCTGGACCTGATCACTCCAAGTCTCTATGAGAACGTACAAAAGACATCTCAAATCTGACATCTCAAACCTGACATGGTCAAAACGCAGTTCCTGATCTTCCCCAGACCCGCCCTCATCTTGCTCCTTCCAAAGTTGCCTGTGTCTCTGTTGAGATCTCTCCACCCTTCCCATCGCACAAGCTAAAAAACTCAAAAGGGCCGTCTGAGTGGCTCAGCCGGTAAAGCATCTGCCTTTGGCTCAGGTCTTGATCCCAGGGTCCCGGGATCCAGTCCGGCATCTGGCTGCCTTCAATACACACCAGGCCCTGACTGCTTCTCCCATGTCCACTGCTGTCCACCTGCTACAAGCTTCATTGCTCTCACCTTGACAGGACCAGTGGCCTCTGCATAGGTCCTCCTGTGACCCTCCCCTTACACTCTCTTCCCAACTCAGCAGCCAGCTGGTCCCATGAGCACAAAAGCCACTCCATGGCCCCTCCACTCAGACCCTCCAGTGGTGTCCCAGCCCATTTTAATCCCAAAGTCTTTCAAAACCTCTAAGCCCTAGGGCACCTGGCCGGCTCAGTCAGTACAGCATGTGACTTTGATCTCAGGGTTGTGAGTTCAAGCCCCATGTGTGTTGGTGGGGGGCAGGCAGAGCTTACTTAAAAAACAAAACAAAATGTACAAGCGCTGTAAATGATCCTCTCTCTACCTGTCAGATTTTACCTCCTACTTACCTCCCACTGGCTCGCTCTGCTCTGGCCACACGGTACTTAACTTCTTGCAGTTCCTCAAACATTCCAATCATATTCCTGCTTGGGGGTTTTGCACTGGCTGTTCCCCCCCAGCCTGGAACGCCCTCAGGTATCCATGACTGGCTCCCCTCCCTCCTCCAGATCTTGATACAAATGTTACCTCATGTTTGCCTTCTTGAGTATCCTAGTTAAAGCACTAAGTCCTGGGGCGCCTGGGAGACTCAGTGGGTTAAAGTCTCTGACTTCAGCTCAGGTCATGATCCCAGGGTCCTGGAATCAAGCCTCGCATCCGGCTCTCTGCTCGGCGGGGAGCCTGCTTCTCTCTCTCTGCCTGCCTCTGCCTACTTGTGATCTCTGTCAAATAAATAAAATCTTAAAAAAAAAATAATAAAGCACTAAATCCTGACCTTTCCTTTCCCCTTTCCCTGCTTTATTTTCCTCCATAGGACTGATATCATCTACCTTATCACATATTTTACCTGCTTATTTAGTTTATTATCTTCCTCCTCCTTTTAGCGTACAAGCTCTGCGAGGCAGTACCTTTTCTGTTCGCTATGGTTGTTTTCTTCGCTGCGGGGTCAGTGCCTAGCCTACGGTGAGCACCCGATAAATATTGCTTGAGGGGCGCCTGGGTGGCTCAGTGGGTTAAGCCTCTGCCTTCGGCTCAGGTCATGATCTCAGGGTCCTGGGATTGAGCCCCACATCGGGCTCTCTGCTCAGCAGGGAGCCTGCTTCCTCCTCTCTCTCTCTCTCTCTGCCTGCCTCTCTGCCTACTTGTGATCTCTGTCTGTCAAATAAATAAATAAAATCTTAAAAAAAATAAAAATAAAAAAATAAAATAAATATTGCTTGAGTACCCGTTTGGGGGCCACCACTGCGCTGGGCACTGAAGATGAGATCATGAGCAGAGCCGGACAAAGTCTGTGAAGCTTAAGTCTTGGGCCGCGGTTGTCTCACTTTCCCAAATATGACCTTACCCGGGGAGCTCTCAGGAGACTGGCTCCAACCCTGGAGATCGATCCTAGGGTAGGGCGCAGGGTTGTGTAGAGGGCACACAGCTCCCCGCGGGACTGGGATACAAGGAGTCACACTGGCCTGCTGGGAAGGACTGCACGCCTGAGGTCTCATTGCCACAGCACCAACCCCTCTCCATTAAATAGTTGTTACACGCCTGTTTCCCCTCTAAACAGTGAAGTTTTGGACTGCTCCTCTCTGTGGCCCCCGGGCTCAGCACAGCGTAGACGCTGGTAAATGTTCGCTGAGACTCAGAGCCAACGGGCGGAGGGTGAATGAATAGTTAGAAGACGGATGAATGAATAACGGGACTCCGGTTAGAAAAGGAATTTCAAGAGTTCAAGATCTAGAGGGTGGGAACGTTTTCAAAGAGCTCCCCCGGTGCCCGAGGGTTTGCAGGAGGGGCTGGGGCGTCCGAGGTCAGGACGCGTTTGGTCCTGTGCGAGGGTGGCTGCTTCGCTGGCGGTCCGCCCGCCGCGGAGGCGAGGAGCGCAGGGGTTAGCGAAGCCACACACCCAGCCGCCAGCCCGCGCGCTTCTACCGGCCAGGCGCGGCCGTTGCCATAGCTACAGACACAGCCGGGAGACGAGGGGGCGGGCCCGGGCACTACGTCATTCCTAGCGCGACGCTTCCCCGCGCCTCCCGCCTCTTTCGGGTGCGAGACCCTCGGCCCGCCTCCCCGGCTCTCCACCTGCGCGCTTCCCCCGCTCGCGCCCTCCCCCGCTCTGCGCCGGCGCGGTGCCCGCCAGGGCGCGCAGGAGAGCCCGCGAGGCGCATGCGCGGTGCGGGGCCCGCCGCCGCTCTGGTGTCGCCGACGCCGTCGCTGCCGTTGCCGCCTCCCTACCGGCAAGTGTGGGAAGGAGGAGCTGAGGGTCGCCGCTGCCGCCATGGGGGTGAGTGAGGCAGGGAAAGGAGACGCGAGGGCCGGCAGCGCTCCCCGTTCCGTTCGTCCCCCTGCGCCCCCATTGTTCCTTGACCCCCCTCTCACGTGACCCCGACCCCCTCCGGCCTCACGTGACCCCCAACCCCCACATGACCCGACTCCCACATTCTTAGCATCCCCACACCCGGCGCAGCCCGGAGATCCCTTGGGGAGCCCCCTTCTCCGGGCCCCACCCCCTTGGGTGTCCCCCGCCCCTCGCGTCGCGCCCCCCACCAACCTTTCTGACTGACCTGTTATCTTCTTGACCACCCCCTAACCCCCGGGCGGACCCTGGGATACCCCTCGCCCCCAGGGGTCACCCATCACCTGGCTGTCACCGGCTTCGCGTCTTTCCACCTCCTAGGCCGCCCCTGGCTTGCAGGGAACTGAGGCCCAGAGAAGAGGCACCCAGCCAAGGTCACACAGACAGTGAGCAGGGGCCAGACCCTGCCTCGGGCCTCCCCAGCCCTCAGCCACTGGCTGTGCTTCCCGCAACCCCGATACTCGGTGAAGCGGGGTTCCCTACACCCTTTCCAAACCTCTCCACCAGGATCCTCCTGCTCCTAAAACGCCCTCTTCCCCTCCAACGGAGGCCTGCTCTCTAGTCCTCCCAGATGCAACAGAGTGGTTTTGATTATTCCTTGGGTCGTTAGTACTCTTAAGTGCTGCAGGTGGCTTTGCAGGGGGAAGCTGTGCAGAAGATGAGCAGGGAAGGAATTGATGGGGGGTGGGGAGGGGCACTGATGGCTCCAGACCCAGAAGAATAGTGACCACCTGTTCTGTGTGTGGCAGCCTGGAGGTGCGCCCTTCTCTGGCATGAGCCGATAGAGGGCTGGGCAGAAATTATTCAAATACTTCTGTGAACTCACCTTCCTAAGTTCCAGTTAGAGTAGTATCAGTCACTCTCCTGAGAAGGGAACCGGTGCTCCCTGGTACTGTATAGTTTTTACCTGGACTTTTTACCACCTTTAAGGAGTCCTGACTTGGGACCCAGAGATGCCTCCGTTCCAGCCCCATCTTCCTGGCTAGCAGCGTGATACTGTGCCTGTGATGTGGCCTTTCTGAATTTGAATTTCCTCCTCTATGTAAACTGGATGATGATACCCGCCCCCCTCAGAGAAGAGAGGATTAAGTGAGATAGTGGATGCGTGAAATCGTGGCTGTTGTTTCTGCTTGTATTCTCAACCTTTATTGGAGTTATCTAAAGTAGATCTGTGCTATTTTTAACCCATTACTTTGTCCCTACTGTTGTTAACCTAGATTTTCTCTCGGGTGATAATTGACTGAACAAGTCAACTTGTTAGGCCAAAACAGTAGTTCTGATCCATGTCCAAGCACTTCAGGTAATCCATGTCGTCTTGTTTCAGCAAGGAATTTGGGGTACAGTGTAGTTCGTGTGTAGAAAATCAAGGCGTATTTAACCCAGGTTTTGGTGAAAGGTCCCAAACCCCAGCTCTTGTTGAAATGAGGTAAAAAATCTGTGTCCCTGGGATCATTCGGTGTCTACCCAGCATCAGCCACTGCAGACGGGGCAGCAGACAAGAAGCAGAACATGCCATTCTGGCTCAGCACTTCCTTTGTTGGTTGAGTTGAAAGAGCAAGACTCAGCGATGCTGCGACCCTTGCTTCCTTTTCCTCCTGTTCCTCATACTCCCCAGATGTGTTTCTCAGAACGGCCCCTGCCTAGTCTCTTCTGGCGTAAAACTCATTGCAAAAAAAGAGAGACTTGAATCTTCCTCCCTGGAACAGTGCTGGAACCCTGTCATGATCCGCCTTCCTCCTGGGTGGGGGCAGTGGACTCCCCACCTCCGTGTCAGGAAGGTCGGTGTTTGTGGCAGGTGCCATCGAGGGGGAGGGCCCTGCTCCACTAGACAGCCGACCTCAGGCTAAGAGACCTCAGCTGGGTCACCCTTCTCTTCAAAGTTCCTTCACCCTCGCTGCCACAGACATGTTGTCTTTTTAGGAATTGGAATGTAGATCTCTGGCTCCCTTCCCCAAAAAAGGAGGGTTTTTTTTTTTTTGTTTTGTTTTTTTCTGGATCCTGGATACTTTGGGGGGTGAAGGCTTGACACTGAAATCTAAGAGATGCCAAATCTCTTGTCTGAAAGGTGCCTCCTGCCCCCATCTGTGCGCGTTTTGGTTTTGAGTGTCTCTGTGAGACCTGGCAGTCCTGACTGCATGTGGAGATACTGCTTCGAGAGAGCTCTCAGGGGGAGGGTTTTCCCGGCTGCAGGTGAAAACACCTGCGTCACACTTTAGAACGCGTGCTGCACACGTGCAGTTGATGTCGTGGAAGAAGCTTGGATGTTAGGGTTCGGACCTGGATTTGAATGTTGGCTGAGCCATTCAACAGGTATGGACTTAGTACCTGCTGTTTGCTGAGCACTGACTGGGTGTGCATTGGCTAATGAAGCCGGTGTGACCTCTGGCTCGTGGAGTGTTACCGTCTGGTGTGAGTGGAGGGAGAGGGTGGCATGGAGAGACCTCTCTGAGAATTCTGTTCGCTGGCTCTGTGACCTGAAAAGTTCTCTAACCTCTCTGTGCCTCAGTTCTCATCAAAGAAGTGGGCACACATAACTTGTTATTATAGAGGCTAAAATAAAACCTGTTTATTAAAGCATTAGCAGAGTGTGTGATGTTAGTGGATCCTCCTAACCAGAAGTCCTTATTTTTTATATCTAGTACATTGTATCATTTTGTCCTCATAACAGTCCTGTGAGGTAAAGGCATTGTTAGTCCCTTTTACTGATGAGATCGAGATCCAGAGAAACTAAGTGACTTGATGAAAAGAGATTAAGTAACTTGCCCACCCAAAGTCACACAGCTTCTAAGTGGAGGAGCTGAGAATCAAATCCAAGTCTCTTGACTCAAAAATCCCACACTCTTTTTATTATATAAAGCTCCCTTGGGAAAGACACTTAACCACAATGAGCTTTACTGTTCACTGTGCTTATTTCCCATTTTAATTAGGAGAATTTTCCTGTGTCCCCGCAGGATAGCTTTACCTACATGAGGCAGGGCAAAGCTAATTGGAACAGCAGGAGACCACTTTTCCTAGTGTGTGCTAGGTTTGAGGGAGAGCCCCTGCCTGTCTGCCCTGGGCTGCTACGGCCTGCCACATACCCCGTGCGCGGGCAGCTAGGCACGTAGGGGTCTCTGTCATCCGCCGTCCCGGGCCACGGCAGCCCTGAGCCTCACACTGAGGATTGTCTGGCTGGCCCATTCCCTTGGATGAATGAGCCCGTAAATCTCCTGGAGGCCTGGGGGCGGCCCTCCTGCTGCTTATGCTTAGGAATTACTTACTGCTTGTGCTTAGAAATGAGATGCTGTGGAGCGCACCCACGTTTCAGTGCTTTCTGGGTCCCGGGAGTCACACTCGCCTTCCAGCACCTTTGATCTTTCAGCTCTGTGTTGTGTGGAGAGAGAACTAGGGCGCAGGGTGGGAGGGGGTTGCCTCTACCCTAAGGTGACTTCTGACCTGTCCTTTCAGGGAGTCGGTGAGGCCAGCATCCGTGTCCCCATTTTTCCGGAGACGGACTTGCTTTCACAGGTCATGCGGGGGCAGCAGGAGGAGCATTGGCCTGGCCCGAGTGATGCCAGGGCTCATGTTCCTTCCTGGAGGTCGGCTGTCTCGGGTTTCCGTTGCCTCCCTCAGAGCAGAGGTAGGGCCTGGGGCAGCACCGAGCTGGCAGGGTGCGTTGTCAGCCGTTGCTGAGCCTGAAGTGATGAGAAGTGAGTTGCCGAGTGGCTGCCTTAACATCTGCGGAGGCCTGGACTGCATCTGGGCAGGACTGAGAGGAAGGGTCTGTTGACATTGATGTCGGCCTTCCCACTGGAGACAGCGGGGCTGGTGGAACAAACACTAGGTCCGGGGCCCAACCTCTGGGAATAAGTCCCCCTCTGCCATTTGTTCTTGGGGGAACGCTATGCCTTTGAGCGTCCGTTTTCTCACGTGGGAATGGAGGTGCTGGTTTTTGCCCTGAGAACCGAAGCAGACGTTTGCGGAAGTACTCTGCGAGCTGAGCGCCTTTCATGATGTTGTTTTGAAATTCAAACCCCCGGAGGAAAAGATGGGTGCTCTAAAGCCTGTGTGTGGTCGAGGGGGCCTGGTTCTGTCCCCTCCATTCCTAGCCTTACGGAGACAGTCTGTGCTCTTCTGTCTGCTCCTTGCTTGAGGGGGTAAGGGATGGGAGCCCGGGGCTCAGCAGCATACAATAGCTGGTGTAGGATGAATTGACCCCTAGAAGAGCAGTCCCTATGAGTTCTTTATGTCTGGACTCTCGCCCCCTGGTCCCTGGAAATAAGAATTAGACAGTGTCATTCCCAGAGAGCTGAGGGTAGAATTTATCCCGAGAAACTTTTCCAGCATCTGGCTTTTCCACTTCCCCTTGGCCGGTGCCAGCGTCAGGGCTCAGGTGCATTTGGAGGGAGTACAGCCTCTCTCCGATGAGCTCAGGAAACAGAGGTGGAGTCAGAAGAGGAAGTGAAGTGCGTCAAAAAGCAAAGCCATCCCGCCAGTGCCTTCAGGTGCCTTTGGAATTTGGGCTGGGGGGGGGGTGAGCAACTCTGGGGGCACGTGCTGCCCTGGTCTTCCTAGGGAGCGAGAATGAGAACTCTCCTTGGTTGTGTGCGATGCCAGAGTAAGTCTCACCGGCCTCCTACCTCAAGGGAGGTTTTATGAGCCTCATGCACCTCCTGCAGACGAGGGAAGCAGACACAGAGGAGGACTGGTTGGGGCCCGAACACCACTCTGCAGAGCAGGAAGAGGCTCTGGGTAAGGTCTGTCAGATTCCAGAGCATGGGCTCTTTCTCCTGTGTTACTAGCTTTTTACAGGAGGGTGACAGGATCTGTAGGCCTGAGAGACCCCCCATGGGAGCCATAAAATAGGATTTGCTCTATATGCGGTTAAGGGTGGTTTGCCATTGGAGCCCCTGTGCAAGGACATGCTCCCTTTGCTCCTCCCCCACGCCCCCCGCTGCCTGTGTGCCCTGCACCATGGCCTTGCAGACCATGTATCAGCATGGCCTCTTTCCGCGGGTGAACCCCTTGAGGCCCCCCTCTGCCCTTGTCGTTATTGGGTGTGCAGGGTGCCTGCTGCTTAGGGCCCTTGGCCGAACAGTGCTTCTGGGGAACATTCTGTCTCCTTAAGCCAGAGAGCTCTGGTCTCAGCTTAAAAAGGGGACCCGGCACCCAGAGGGGCTCCCCCAGACCAGATCTTTGTCTTCTGAAGCTGGAAGACACTGAGAAGGCTTTGAATAAACCTGTCCTTAGGAACAGCTGTCAGTGGCTACCTCAGATGGCGTCTCCTCCTTGAAACCTGCCCTGAATGTATCTAAAATTAGTTGTTCCTTCCTTAGGAGCGAGTGGATGAGTGCGTATTTATTAGGCACCTGCTGGGGGCCAGGCCCTACGCAGGTACTGTCATGTGCTCTCACCGGGTCCTCACAGTGACCCTGCTTCCCCAGGGTCAGTACTCTTTCTGACACGGAAGCTGAGAAGTCTGGTGATGGCTCCCGAGCTCTCACGACGAGAAAACATGTGCGTCTTCCCCATCCCAGCAAGTGTGCAGCAGCCAGGGTTGGCAGTTCCTGCCACTGAGGACAGGCCTGTGGACTCAGGGCCTGACTCTAAGGTTCCTCAAAGGGAAAGAAGAGTCTTTGGTTGGCCACAGCCCTTCCAGCCAACTTTGCTTTTCCCTGTTGCAGAGGAAGTCAAGCAAAGCGAAGGAGAAGAAGCAGAAGCGGTTGGAGGAACGAGCAGCCATGGATGCCGTCTGTGCCAAAGTGGACGCCGCCAACAGGGTGACTCCCCTGCTTCCCAAGTCCCTTCCTCCTAGAACTTGAGCTTGGTTTTTCATTTGACTTCTTTTGGCGCCACCCTGTGGCAGAATTTTGTTACTGGCCGACTGAGGAAAATGAGCCGAGCCTGAGAGTTGCCGGGAGGGCCAGGGATTGGCCTAGGTGTGCAGGGAAATGGGAATTCAGATGAAGTGGCTGGGGGTGCCTGGCTGGCTCCGTGGGTGGAGCGTGGAGCGTGGGGTGCTCCATCACAGGGTCTTGAGTTCCGGCCCCACCCTGGGAGGGCAGCCTACTTAAAAAAAGAAAAAAACAAACAGAAGTGGCTGCTTCTCTCTGTGGGTCTCCTTCCATAGCAGTGGAAGAGGGTCTGGAGAAAAAGAAATTTCTTTTTAAAGATTTTATTTATTTATTTGACAGAGAGAGATCACAAGTAGGCCGAGAGGCAGGCAGAGAGAGAGTGGGGGAAGCCGGCTTCCTGCTGAGCAGAGAGCCCAGGACCCTGGGACCATGATCTGAGCCGAAGGCAGAGGCTTTAACCCACTGAGCCACCCGGGCGCCCCTCTGGAGAAAATTTTGTTAGGATTTTGCATTTTGGAGAGGAAACGTCCCTGGTAACATATGGTATAGTTTTCTCATTCATTCCTTCAGACATTTATTTACTATGAAGTACCAAAAACTGTGCTGGCACAGGGGGCAGGGGCAGCAGCCTGGTTCAGGGGCCAGAGTCCAGGAGGGAGGAGTGGTGAAGCGGACCACCCAGGCGGACCCCCGAAGAGCAGGCTTGGCTTTCAAACAGGACTGAAGAGGCTCTGGCCATCCTTCCTGCTCCCATTCCATATCCATTTTTTTGTTTCTCTCTTTTTTTATTTTTTAAAGATTTTATTTATTTCACAGAGAGCATAAGCAGGGGAAACGGCAGGCAGAAGGAGAGGGAGAAGTAGACTCCCTGCTGAGCCGGGAGCCTGATGCGGGGCTCAATCCCAGGACCCTGGGATCATGACCTGAGCCGAAGGCAGAGGCTTTAACCTACTGAGCCATCCAGGCGCCCCTTTTATTACCTTTTTAGCCCACCCCATAAGCAGTCTACATTTATAAAGAGGTGGTTCAGGGACATGATTGTGCCATTTTGGGTTTTTGACACGGTGGAGTTAGTTGGGGGCTTCTTAGAAGTACGCAGGTAAGGGGCACCTGGGCGGCTCAGCCAGGTAAGTGTCCAACTTTTGATCTTGGCTCAGGTCATGATCTCAGGGTCTCGAGACCCAGCCCTGTGCTGGGCTCTGCGCTCAGCATGGAATCTGAGATTCTCTCCTCCTCTGCCCCTCCCCCTGAGCCTGCACACGTGCACAGGCTTCTGAAAATAAATAAGTAAAATCTGAAAAAAGAAAACGTTTCAGAAAAAAGAAAAAGAAAGTATGTGGGCGGATGGGGCACCGGGCTGGTTCAGTTGGTAGAGCAGGCAACTCCTGATCTAGGATCACGAGGTCAAGCCCCACAGAAGGGAAGTTTGCAGGTGGATCACATGCCCTCCGGTTTTGGGGTCATGTGAGCTATAGGCCAGTATTCGTGTTAGGCTAGCAGAGTCTCTCCTTACCTTGTGAAATGAAGCTGACTTAACTGTCTTGGGCCTCCTTACTAGACCCTGCCTGCATGTGCTTTCAGAGCCAAGGCAGATGGAGCGCTGTCTGGCGGCTGCTCCTGGGTCGAGGGCCAGGCCTCCCAGCGTGGCTCTGCACACTGTCTTGCTGCAGGGAGAGCCTGTGACTGCACCGTGCGTGTTTGTGCTACTCTTTTCTTTCCCTCCGCAGCTTGGAGACCCTCTAGAGGCTTTCCCAGTGTTCAAGAAATACGATCGAAATGGGTAAGTGTTTAGCACTCCTAACTGTTGTCTCCTTGAGTGAAGGAATTCACTTTCCCGGAGTGTGCTTCCTCCGACCCACATTTTCTCATTTTTTTGTTCCGAAAAAGGAGAAGCTGTGTTGAGTGTCTTGATACAAAAGCGCCTGGTTAGGTGACAGAGAAATCTGTAAATGAACAAAGATTGCATCATCTTAGACTGCTGTTTCCTTAGGATTTGATATTCTCTCCAGGTGTAGAATCATAGAGCTGACTGCCTTCAGCTCAGGTCATGATCCCAGGGTCTTGGGATCGAGCCCCGCATCGGGCTCTCTGCTTGGCAGGGAGCCTGCTTCCTCCTCTCTCTCTGCCTGCCTCTCTGCCTACTTGTAATCTCTGTCTGTCAAATAAATAAAATCTTAAAAAAAAAAAAAAAAAAGAATCATAGAGCTGAAACAAACTGGAAAACTCGTCTAGGGGGCGCCTGGGTGACTCAGTTAGTTAAGCGGCTGTCTTCCACTCTGGTTATGGTCCCAGGGTCCTGGGATCGAGCCCTAGGTCAGGCTCCCTGCTCGGCGGGAAGGCTGCTTCTCCCTCTCCCACCCACCCTGCTTGTGTTCCCTCTCTTGCTGTGTCTCTCTCTCTGTCAAATAAATAAATAAAATCTTAAAAAAAAAAAAGAATTAAAAAAAAATTGTCTAGGCTGACTTCCTCCTTTTGTGCAGAGGGGAACCAAGGCTCAGAGAAGCTGAATAAGATTCCTAAGCCATGTAGTTTCCCTGGCTGCTGAGGGGGCTTTTAATTCCCAATCTAGGGTTCTTTCCGGGAGTGTATGGTGTAATTGTTAAAAGCCACTTACTGGGGCGCCTGGAGGACTCAGTGGTTAAGCATCTCAGGTCGTGATCCCAGGGTCCTTGGATTGAGCCCTACATCGGACTCCCTGCTTGGTGGGAAGCCTGCTTCTCCCTCTCCCATTCCCTCTGCTTGTGTTCCTTCTCTCACTGTGTCTCTCTCTGTCTAATAAATAAATAAAATACATTTTTTTAAAAAAGCCACTTAACTGGCTGTATGACCCTTGACCCTGGACTTAACCTCTCTGTGCCTCCATTTTCTAATCAGCAGTGGGTCTGATAATAGATGGTTTGGGGAGGATTAGGTATGAAGTGGCTCGTATCTGGAGCTTACCAAAACCTAGGTCAGTGTTATCACTACTGTTACTGCTACTAATCCAGTTTCCTGCTGTAGGATCTGGGTTAAAGCCCCCTTCCCCTTTCTGTCCTTCTGGTTTATAAAATAGGAAGCATAATCTGTCTTATCAGAGCTGCTCTTGGCTTAGGGAAAAATGGGTTATGGTTTTAGAGAATCACAGCTATGGGTTTGCAACAAAACTGTTCTTCTGATTAATTGTATTCAGACAAGGCACACTCCAGACAGCCCCATTTTTTGGTCTGTTGAACGGAGTGATGAAGCCAGACTTGTAAGGTCATTTTGAGGAGGAAAGAGGATTATGTCCAGTTCTGTAAGTAGCAGCTGGTTTGAGTGTTTCAGTGAACAAGACAGACGGATGTAAATATATGAACTATGAAATGATCACTTTATTTTTTTAAAAGGTTTTTGTTTATTTTATTATTATTATTTTTTAAAGACATTATTTATTTATTTGACAGAGATCACAGGTAGGCAGAGAGGCAAGCAGAGAGAGAGGAGGAAGCAGGCTCCCTGCTGAGCAGAGAGCCCAATGGCAGGGCTCTATCCCAAGACCCCAGGATCATGACCTGAGCCGAAGGCAGAGGCTTTAACCCACTGAGCCACCCAGGTGCCCCAAAAGATTTTTGTTTACTTATTTGACAGAGAGAGACACAGCGAGAGAGGGAACATAAGCAGGGGGAGTGAGCAAGGGAGAAGCAGGCTTCCTGCTGAGCAGGGAGCCTGATGTGGAGCTCAATCCCAGGACCCTGGGATCATGACATGAGCCAAAGGCAGACACTTAATGACTAAGCCACCAGGTGCCCCATGAAATGAACATTTAGTAGGTGACCCTATGTCTGCTTTTCGCGGCTTTGTCTGAATTTCGTAGTACCACGTTAATGTGTCCTTCCTGTGATCAGATGTAGTACAGTTTCTCCAGTAGCCTCACCTTTCAGTGTCTGGGAAGTCCTCTGGCACAGTTTAGAGATCCCTTACTGTGATGTCTTCTGTGTTCCATGTTCCACATTCCTATTGACTTTCAGAAATACTGGAACAGTTCTGAAGCAGGCATTGCCAGCTAACTCTGGGCTCCTTTGGTGCCTGGAATTTTGTGTGATTTGTGTGGCTGTGATCCTGCTTTAATGTACTTAAAGAACTCAAGTGGAAAAGAGAGAGAGAGAGAGAACTCAGATTAGTGGAGAAATCATACCTCTAGACCAACCTTTGGAAAACAGACGGCTGAGCCAGAGGGCAGGCCATGTTGGGGTGTTTCTGACTGTGCCATGGCCAGCACTTCCAAAGAAAGGCAGACTCTTCAGAGCCAAGATGCTCCGAATTTACAAGACTGAGCGCATGTGCAGCTCATATGGCGGGCCAGACAGCAGAGGTGACAGTCATTTCGAATGGGGACATTCTCTGAGGGGTCGTGTCAAGGGCCATTGGAAGGGCCTGACCTGGGACCTGTTTAAGGACTTCGTGTCACTGACTTTGGTCCTGTCAGAATGTGGCACTGCCTGGAGATTGGGGTTCCACGGTTCGGCCACGGAACTGAACTGTGCTTTACTAACGTTTCTTTTGGAAGTAAATAAATGATGAGACCTTACTGTCTGCGGCATTTGTGAGTGTGAGAAAACCGCGTGGGGTTGGACCCCGCTCCACCTGGGTTGGTCAGCTGAGAACACCTGCTGTGTCCTCAGAGGAAATGGCAGGCAGGACCCCTCTGGGGGGTTAGGGACCAGGCCTTCTCAAAAGGCCTGAGGTGACCCAGCCATTTTCAAGGTGCTGTGGCTGCCCAATGAGGAGTCAGTTCAGAGACTAAATGCCCACGGGCAGGAACTAAAGAATCCGAGAAGACTTCAGGATTCATAGCGAAGCATGGCAGAGGCTGGAGAGAGCAAAGCGATAGCAGAGAGGGATGGAAGTTTACAAAGTGCAGACACCGGTGAGGGCCTCGCAGGGCAGGAAATGGGACTGTGGTCAGGGCGGTGGGCCAGCGATGACAGTTGTCAGTCTCAGCCCGAAAGTCTTCGTTCCTTCAGCGGCACCTTCTCTAGTCACGACCAGGAAGGCAGGGCACAAGCTCGGCTTCTCTCTGGGTGAGCCGAGACCAGGCCCGAGGCGCTGGGAGGTCGTCTGGGCAGCGGGCCGCCCGCAGGCCTGCCGCCGGCTCCACTCGCCACCCTTCCGTCGTCTTCAGGTTAAACGTCTCCATCGAGTGTAAGCGAGTGTCTGGACTGGAGCCAGCCACCGTGGCCTGGGCCTTCGACCTGACCAAGACCAACATGCAGACCATGTAAGCGCGCCCTGACGGGAGGGGGGCCTCGCTCCTCCCCTTCCGGGCCTCCCCGCCCTGACTGCCCCGTGTGTCCCAGGTATGAGCAGAGCGAATGGGGCTGGAAGGACCGAGAGAAACGCGAGGAAATGACAGATGACCGAGCCTGGTACCTCATTGCTTGGGAAAGCAGTTCGGTGCCTGTTGCCTTTTCTCACTTCCGGTTTGACGTGGAGTGCGGGGATGAAGTCCTGTACTGGTAGGAGCCCCAGCCTGGGGTCGGCCGTGGGGAGGACGCACTGGCGCTGCTCTGGGCACTCAGCCGCGTGGCAGGGTCTGCTGCGCCGGTCCGGGTCTGCGGGCTGCGGGGGCCCCAGGTCCTCTGATGGGCCCTGCCTCCCCGGGCTCACTTGGCTGCTTTCTTCACACAGCTACGAAGTGCAGTTGGAAAGCAAGGTGCGGCGGAAGGGCCTGGGGAAGTTCCTCATCCAGATCCTGCAGCTCATGGCCAACAGGTGAGGGCGCCCCGTGTGCCGCTGTGTTGGACTGATCTGCTGTCATCCACACTGTTCTCTGAGCCTCGCTGGAGGACACGCCTCGTAGGAATGTTTCAGAAGAGAGGCATCTAGAACCCTCTCAGTAAAGCTACTCTCCTCCCTGCCGGGATTCCCGTTTTTGTACGTGTGGCTCCAAGCAGCAAGTGCTTCTGAGCGCCTCTTGTGCCTGAAAAGTGGGGTGCAGAGAGGACGTGGCAAGGAAGCCAGCTCAGTGGGGGCCCGATGCCCACGCGGTCTGATCAGCCCCGGAACGGAAGCAGGGGGTGCTGTGAGCGCCCAGCACGGAGGCTAGATTGGGGCTCAGGGGTGCGCTTCTCAGGGGCAAATGGGAGACAGCAGGCAGAGACAGAAAGAGGAGGCATGAGTTAGCCTCTGTTTCTCTTCCTGGAAGGTGTTCTCTCTGCTTTCTTCTCAGCACACAGATGAAGAAAGTGATGTTAACTGTATTTAAGCACAATCATGGTGCCTACCAGTTCTTCCGAGAAGCGCTGCAGTAAGGAGCTGGGCCCGGGTGTGGGGCCCTCTGGGTGGTGGGGGGTGCCTGCCCCGGGGGGCTTTCTCCTGGTCCTGACGCTCATTCATCCTGAAGGCTGAGATCCTGGTCCAGTGGTCCGGGGGAGTGGCCTTGGGGTTGGGGGGATGGTGCAGGCATGCCCTGGGGCCACGCCCTCACTCCTACGGGTCTTGTGAGTGTGGCTGGTAGAAAAGTTCCTGGGCTAGGAAGGAAGGCCGTCAGCTGCCCGCAGCCAAACCTCTCCGCCTGCCTGCCTTGCAGATTCGAGATCGATGACTCTTCCCCCAGCATGTCTGGTTGCTGTGGAGAGGACTGCTCCTACGAGATCCTGAGCCGGAGGACCAAGTTTGGGGACAGCCAGCACTCCCATGCGGGCGGGCACTGTGGCGGCTGCTGCCACTGAGCTCCCAAGCTAGAATGCTCTCTCCAAGGCCTGTCCTCTCCCTGGGCTCACGTCGCTGGCCAGGTGCCCTCAGAGCTGTGGCCTCCTCAGCCCTGCGCGTGCCCGGCTGCGGCCCAAGCGCACAGGACCCCGGGGTGGAGCGGTCCGAGCCGCCCGTCCTCCGTCCTCCTGGAAGGACCGTGTGCGCTGAAGGAGCAGAGAGGAGAGGTGCTGAGGGAGGGGCTGGCGGAGGCCGGGCACGACGCGGACCCTCTCGCAGCGGCTGCCTTCTCACTCGGCCCTTGTGCCCTTGAGCACGAGGTTCCCCAGCTGCTCTGCAGGTGGATTCCTGACAGTCCCTCCCCTCCCCCTGCCACACACACACTTGGACAAATGGGCTGTTTTATACCCATCTTTAGAAAAGTCCTGGAGCCCCGGGTCAGGGTCTGGCTGGTCCCCAACGAGGACTGGACCGGGTGCAGGCTCTGGACGTAGAGACCGGCTTCGGAGGGAGTCCGGTTTTGTAGCCGAGTGCTCTGAGGGAGATCAAGGGAAGGTCTCCTGTGCCATGACACTGGGAGGCCAGGGAGCTCTTTCTAGCTGTGCTTCTGTGGACGGACACTTAGTGTGGAGGCATCCCAGGGGACCGGCCCGGTAGGAGGAAGGTTCCATCCATCTCCTCGTCGTCGTCGATGGGAGGACCAGGAGCAAGGTGTGGCTGGGGGGGTGGGTGTCCACACACACCCCGCCCCCAGGAAGAGAGTTGCTTCTCTGGGCTTCCGGACTTTGCTGCTTTCTAGCCAAACCTCTTGATCTGGCAGTGACTTGAGCTGTCCCGTCACAGAAACAAGCCAGAGGTCCTGCCAGTTCCTCTCCGTCGCCCCCCACCACTTGTCCTCCCCCAACTCACCTCACCCAGTACCTCTGTTCTTACTCTCAAGGGGAAGAATTACATTAGGGAGCCCTTCATCTTCCCCCAGAAGGACCCCTCGGGTTCCCGGCCTCTTCAGTGCTGTTGCCTCTCATATCTTGGTGCTGATCGCTCTCTGAGGGGGGCGCTGCCCTCCCTTTGCAGAGAGCCCCCAGCCAGCAGCAGGCCCCACTGCCTGCACTCCCCAGCCTTGCCCCTCGCTGCCTCAGTGAGGCCTGGTGCCACCGCCCTGGCTGGCAGCCCCCCAGCTGCGGCAGGAATGCCTCTCGGTGGCCAGACCGCTTCTCTCCTCTCCTCTCCATCTCCAGTGTCACCCTGTGGCCTCGGACTGGAGCAGAGGGAGAAGGCCTTCCTCTTCTCTCACAGGATAGGGAGACTGTGGGTCAGGGCTTACACTTGCCCTGGTCTCTGGGCCTTGTGCCCCTTCCAGGGAAGAAAACGACCAAATCCTTATCCAGGAAAAAGCATCTGCCGCCTCCCTTTGGACCTCCTTGAGCCGTGCTTTAGGGAGTGTCTTAAAGGTTCTAGCCTTTGTGCAGTTGCGCTCTTGGAGGTCTGTCTGTCCCGACTTTACAGTCTGCCCCACGCTCTGCCCTGACTCAGGTGGTCTCTGCTGGCGGGTCTCCCCGGAGCTGATCTTCCCCACTTTCCTGCTCGTGCAGGGGCCTGTGCGCTTGGCCTCCCCTGCCCAGCCCGGCCTTCCGCAGAGTGCTGTGTGATGCTGTTGACCCCGCGGGCAGCATGCGACGGGCACTCCCTCAGAGAAGGCCTTGCAGCTTTCCACTGGAGTAAGCCCGTCTCTGCCCCTGCCTTCCGCCTCCCAGGGGGTTCTGTGGGGGGAGGGGTGGGGGGCATTTTAAATTGCTGGGAGGGTATTGGTGGGCTCCTTCTAAGAATCATGGAATGACAGAAGCATGTTTAGGAATTTTTTTTTCCTTTGATCCCTGTCTGTTGACACAGAACAGATAAATATTTATTGTCTTAGATCATGGATTTCTGATACCTCCCACTCAAGGGGCTCAAAAGGAACCCCACTGTAAATTCCTCATAAGGTGAGTTCAGTGTATGTTTTCTCTGCACTCGTCGGACACCTGCCACCGAGCCCACCGGCAGATGGAGGGCTCAGTGCCACACCTGCTCCTGCAGCCTCTGCCGCCCGTTTCCTGCGGGGCGGCTCGGGGGCCCGCGTGGGGGCAGGAGACCAGCAGCTCCCTGTGTTTTGGTGTTGGGCCCGTCCATGTCTCAGACATCCGTCTTTCTCCACTTCCCCAGGTCTTGGTTTTGAGAAACAGAGCAGGCCTTTTGTTCTCCGGCTGTTTTGTGTGTTTTGTTTGGGGCATGTTAAAATATTTTTTAAGATTTTCCTTTCTTTTTTAGTTGTATTCACTCTGTTTCAGGTTATTTTTGTTGACGTCAAATGTGTGTATGACATGCATCTGGTTCTTTTTAACCCTTTCTGGTTTTTGTTTTTGTTTTTTTTTTTTAGAGGAAATTGAAGATAAACTCCTTGATATATATATATTTTTTCTTTAGCAACTTGTTATCACTGGAATCAAAGGGAAAAGTGATCTCTTTTTGCATTGGTTGTATTTGTATGTCACAAATAAAAGATACTTTGTTCAGCTGCTGGGATCGTGTCCTGATGCTGGGGTGCCATGGGCAGTGTGGTCTCGGGGGACACCCCAGGCCATCACACTGTCCCATTGTTGGGCCGAAACCCTGGGAGGCACGAAGCTGTGCGGCCCCATGCCCCTTGCTGCGAAAGAAGCCTTGGCCTGAGGAAACTTTAGGGTGTCTGCGGCGAGCAGTCAGAGGGGGGAATGTGTGTGCCACTTCCCACTGGCCCTGGGTGGGGGTCAGAAGTCTTACAAGGGATGTCTGCTTTGCATCTTGGACAGAGTCCCAAGCCAGGCGTTGCAACATTTGACATTTTGGCTAAATGTGTGTGCACTTGTGTGGGAGTTCACTAGGTTGAGTGTGTCGGTGTTTCTTTCCTCCCTTTTATACTGTCGGCTTACTCCGAATATCCCTCTTCTCTTAAAAAGATTCCAAAGCCCTTTTCCCTCCACTCACAAAAGAAAAAGGCTCAGAGGAAGGGTAACTGATCAGGCCTGACAGGACAGGAAAGTTATGAGCTGGGAGAGGCTCGGCCCCTGGCATGTGACAGACGGGGCTACGCAGCTTCTCCCGGGCAGGACTCTTGACAGTCCCTGGCCCTGGGTGAGCTGGGAGGAGAGGCAGGAAGTAAGCTAGGACAGGGCTTCCGGGGTTCAGAAGCACTTCCTGTGGACACTGCAGGGGCCAGCCTCACCAGGCTTCCGCTTGGTGATCCTATCTGCTAGGAGGTGGGGGGTAGCGGGAGGGAGGAGGCCAGGGGGAGCCCCGGGCCACGGGGAGTATTGTGCTCAGGCAGGGCCATGATCTGGGGAATGGGGAGCAAGGTTAACAGCTGTTTGGTGGGTGTCTGTATGGGTGAGACAAGCCGTCCCCAAGTGTCCTCCCTCCCAGGGATGGCTTGTGCTGTTGCCTTACCTTGGGAGCAGCAAGAGAGGCATCACAACCCTTAGGAAGGGAGAGAGCATTTCACTGGGCTAATCATACAACAGATTTCCCATGTGACAAAATTCTGTCCCCACCATCCTCCTGCCCAAGTTCTTTGTTCCTTGCAGGCTGTTTTAATCCCAGGCAGGAATTCCTTGGAATGACATCCATTTGTCACAGGGCAAATGGGCAGGATTGGAAGGGTATGGACCCCCTCCTTGGTCCCTGCTGCCTGGGGTCTGTGCCCACCTCTTTGGTCCTCCAGTGAGTGCCTCCAGCCCTCCCTGTGGCTGCAACAGAAGCTGCTTCTCTCCAGGGGTACGGGGTGACACACCTTCGGCGAGCTGACAGGACAAGAGGCACCATCCCCGCAGGAGAAGTTTTCCCCTTCACTCGGGGCATGAGCTGGTTTGAAAAGGACTGTTTTGCCAGTGGAAGCAACCTGGTTGCCCTGTGATTTCTGCTACCAGGTTTTGAAAGTGTCTGTTCGACCGCCTTGATCTTTGTGGTGCGGGGGACTGTGATTTCCCGTGCCCAGTCCGCAGTGCCCAGGTACACGGTGGCGCCCAGGCAGGATGTGGTCGGCAAAGGGCTCTGTGGACATCAGCACCACACTTGCTGATGGAGTTCTAGGTCGCCTCGTGGATCCAGGCACCTGTCGGTCTCAAGGCCCTGTCCTCCCTCTCAGGGCTTGGCCTAGAGAAACAAAGCTGGCCTGTTGAGAAGGCCAAGATGGAGGCGTGGCCGTCCTGTGGGGACACAGGCTTGCTGCAAAGGAGGCCTGGAGGAGGGTGTTGGGACTGCGGGCAGTGCCGGTGGCCCGTAGTGATGACTCATCCGTCAGTCAGCTTTGTAGCTCTTTCCAGAGCCCAGCGGGCGGCTGAAGCCCTCTGGCCCTCACTGTAGGGCTCCCTACCTTGGCTTTTCCTGGACGTCCCATGTGATCTCCCCATCAACTGGACGGGGAAGAAGGAGTGATGGGTTCAAGGGGAGGCAGGCTGTGCCAGAGCTCACCGGATGTCCCAGCTTCAGAACTTGCAGCCCACTTAGTCCGCTCAGACTTAGTCCCCTCTGCATCCCATCACCCGCCCAGATTGGAGAGCAGCCCCCGAGCGAGCCCTCCCACAGCACGTGCGCACACGGGGCTTCCCGTTTCCTGGAGGGGCCCGTGCGGAAGCAGAGATGAACCTGTAAACCCGCGCTGTGGCTCTAGGAGTCCCTGCTGTGCGATCTTCATCGGAGGAAGGTGAGCATTTGCCATGGGCCCGCAGGGCCCTGGAGGGCTCCCCAGGCTGGGACTGAGGTCCGACCGCACTGCCCGTGCTTAGGTGCTTAGTGTAGACCAGCCCAAAGGTAGCGGGAAGGGCCCTGAGAAGAGCCTGAGGCTGTTTGTCTTGGAGAACAGGTTGGGGGGTCACAGCCAGGGGCCAAGGGGAGGGAGCTGGAGCTGGCAGCCGCTGCCTCCCTCGCCCCCCGCTCCCCCGGGACTGGGTCCAGCCCTCTTCCCTGAAGGATTGTTTGCTCCAGGGCCCTGGAACGGAAGGAGACCCCGTGTTGCTGGGGGTCTTGCCCTGGTCCGGGAGTGGAGGCTTGCAGGGAGTAGGCCTGGGGTGGCCTCCTGACTCTTCCCCTTCCACCAGTTGTGACAAAGTACCCAGTCTCCTTCAGCAGGATCTTCAGGAGCTAGTGAGGCCCCGGGCAGCCTGGGGCCCAGTGCTGGGGGTGAGGGTCAGAGTACAACCCTCACGGAGGGGCCCACAGTGAGTGCTGCCATCCCTGGGGTCCGGTCTGATGCCCGGAGAGTAGACTGAGAGGGGGACCAAAGAGGTGGCCTGCACTCCTGGGCAGCTGTGCCTGAATGGTGGGTACAGGCAGTGAGAAGGGACAGGGAAAGTGGCTGGAGGAGTGTGGGGGTCCCAGGATGGGGCTGTCAGGTACAAGGTCTTAGGACCCTCTGGGAGCCCGGCTGAGAGATGGGGTATCGAGAACAATGAGAAAGAATGAGGGACTTGTCCTGGGCTGCAGGATGGAGAAAAGGCCAGGGATCCTGTGGCTGAGAGAGGAACTCAGGGTTAGGAGCTGGGGGGTCCAGGCTAGGGGTCCAGAAGGCAGAGGGTCACTACAGGAGAGGAGTGAAGCCTGGGGCTCTGGTACACTGATCCTCAGGGCTACAGCCAGAGGCAGATGGCAGCGGCACACAGACTTGGCAAGAAAGGTCAAGGCCTCTACCGTGACCTGGATCATCTTT